TGTGTGTGTGTGTGTGTGTGTGCGTGCGCGTGTGCGTGCGCGTGCGTGCGTATTTGTGTGTGTGAGAGAGATCGAGAGGGAGGGAGGGAGAGACGCGACGGCGTAAGCCAGGCGCCTCTTTTTATAGAGACCAAATTGAAATCCATCTATAAATACACTGTACCATGAACATATTTATCAATATATTGATACACTTGCAGGTAAATTCACGAGGATATTCATGTTAGTACTTATCAACAAAACTGGCTGTTGGGTGATAACTATGTAGAGTGTCATCTGCCACTTCGTTACAAGTTCGTTTGCGTTGTACTATATACCATAATAATTATACACTATACATGATGATATCATGACACCTGATGACATGTACCTGATCCTGTTCGCAGTGGGCTATCCCTGACAGTCTGTAAACACGTGTACTGTATGACTGTATGCACTACAGACTTCATTGGTCCGCATTACGTTATTCGTAAAATGTGCTTATGAATATATAATAAATAATCAATTATAAAAAGACATACGCGCGCTAACACGCACGCACGTGCAAACACACGCTCACACACACACGCGCGCACGCACACACGCACGCACGCACACACGCCAAGACAGGCACGCCCCGCACGCTACGCGAGCGCACGCACACGCAGCAGCCACAGACACGCACGCAGCAGCCACGCCACGTCACGCGACGCACGCAACGCACGCCACGCACCACACGCACGCACGCACGCACCACACACACACACACACACACAGCCACACACACACACACACACACACACCACACCACACACAAACACACGATAACGAAGTTGCACCGTCATGTATTCTGCGTGGGCGTGGTTGTCGCGCGTCCTTGCATGGTGCGCCAACGCAGTCAAATAATATGTGATGTACGCAAACTTGTTTTCACTGAAAAATCAAAACTAAAACGAACGACGCTTAAAACTATTTGTCTGATTTAAACCTGTATTAAGTTCTTGTAGCAATAGGCCTACGAGGCGATTATTTCTCTATGCTCTAGTTAATTAACAGAACCTCGCGTACGTCGACTGCAAACAAAAATAAATAGTTCGCTAATTCTGGAGCACCACCCCAATTTTAAAAGCTCACACGTTGCACAAAATTGTTCTGCTAGCAAATGACTAAAGTGTATAAAGTAACAGTCAGAAATAGATTTGCGGAATGCAGTACGTCTGCACTCCATATGGTTGCACCGACGATTTGGTGGATTTGGTGTGGTTAGGTCTATTCTAGGCCTATATTTCTGCTAACCGCACACGCAACATCGCT